CTAGTTACATGTAAGTTATCTTCATTATTATTTCGTTGTGGGGCTCTGCATACTCCCACTGATGGGATAGACTAACAAGCAGTAACTCTAATACAAGATGGTGGGATACAGAATCCTACAGACTCTAAGTCTAACGAGTAGTGCTTAGTAAAAGTATGCACTTAAGTCCAGGTTGCTGCTCTACAAATTTCCACAAAAGGAACGTGTTTCAAAAAAGCCATGGAAGCTGCCTTAGCCCTAGTAGAAAGTCCAACAGATCCTGTATACTTGTCTCATTGATCTATACAGGGACCATTATTGTAATGAGTCTTTGTTCTGCTCTCCACGGTCCACACCTGGGCATGCTCACACTCCATAAGGGGGCATTCTGTTTGGACATATCCCGGTAGCCCACATAGGGCAGGGTATGTCAGGGAGAGGCCTGGTTGGAGGAGGGGTAGAGTAGGTCAACCTGGGGCATGGTTGGGGAAGCCTGGCTGAAGCCAGGGCAGAAGTCTCAGCTGGAGGCAGGTAGGAGGCAGAAAGGGCCCAACTCAGCATACACCTCAAGTTACTTGCGACCCTTGAGTAAGCTGCTGACTACAGCAGTGGTTCTCAAACTTTTATACTGGTAACCCCTTTCACATAGCAAGCCTCTGAGTGTGACCCCCCCTTAAAAATTAAAAACACTTTTTTATATATTTAACACCATTATAAATACTGGAGGCAAAGCGGGGTTTGGGTGGAGGCTGACAGCTCACAACCCCCCATGTAATAACCTCATGACCCCCTGAGGGGTCCCAACCTCCAGTTTGAGAACCCCTGGCCTACAGTGTGTGTACACAGCAGCATAGGGCAGGAGACAGCAGGGAACAGCTTCTTATATGCTAATGGCTTCTACAGTGCAAACTAATGGCTTATTGGGATGGGAAGAAGAAGGGGAGCTAAGTGTTGGCAAGGGGGCTACATGGTGCAGAGAATGGTGGGTTAGGGAATGTAAGAGGCGACACACTAGTCTTCTATTGCCTCTCCATGCCTCAGTTTCCCATGAGTAAAATAAAGATAATTATGTCAAATTGAGACCCACTGATGAAAAAGCACTATAGAAAAGTTAATTTTTTTATTATATTATTATTATACTACCTAGGCTAGCCCCAGTAGCATATCAACTGAAAACCTAAGTGAGCACCACAACTATCTAAGACTCCACTAACTCCCACTAATAAATATTTACCTTCAGTTTTAAAAACTAATAAATTAAATGACAAAAAAAAAGTTAATCCAGATTTAAGGCTGCCAGATGATAGCCTGCACTCTTCCAGAAATGGCAGAATTCAGACTTCTTAAAACCAGGAAATATGGAGTAGTTTCCAGGATCACTTTTTCCAGGGAACCAGGAAAAAGCTCATGCAACCTCAACACTGTTGAGTGAGACCCCAATATGCTCATAACACATACTCCCATTCTACATTTTCACTGTAATGGAGAGGTGGTACCTGCACTTCCTCTATACTCATATACTGATCCTACTCCCCCAACCAATACCATACTTGTAAAATTTAACAACCACTTCATACTGTTATTTTACAGCGTCTTCACACCTGCACACCTACACCCTAACACTATTTTCCCTAACACTATTTAAATCCACAGACTGCTCTCATAACTCACCTCACAACCAAATCTCCATATATCACAATCACAGCTCTTCCAAGCTGCTCCAATTTATTCCTCCACCATTCAATACTGTGCTCCCTTTGGATGTATCAAACACCTAACACAGTGAATGCCACTGAGTAAATTATCAGAGGGGTAGCCGTGTTAGTCTGGATCTGTAAAAAGCGACAAAGAGTCCCGTGGCACCTTATAGACTGTTTGTCGCTTTTTGCTGGAGTAAATGTGGATAATTCTCAGTGGCTATTGCCAGGTCCTGGGGAACACAGTTATGCTTGTGTGGGCTATGACCATAACTCTGCATCTGCTGGTTTTCAGAAGTTTGAGTTTTGCTGACCTCAATATTCTGGAAGGGCAGGAGCTAACACCAGGCAACCTTTTCTCTATATTAATGCAGGGTTTTTTTTTTGGCATTTAATAATAAAACAACAATAATAATAATTAATAAATCAATCCCTATGACCAATACAAGCTGATCCTGGTAATCAGTCTGGTCTTGGTAATACAAGCTGATCCTGACAGGAGATGTGTTAAACTGGGCCTCCCATCTGCTCGAAGGCCATAGCCCAGTACTGTCAAACTGGGATGCCATTCTCCAGTCAATATCAACCATCTTTGATGACTTGTACTGAGTTCAAACCACTAAGGACACTCCAGCAGGGGCAAGGCACAGCAGCCTCCTATGTGGCACATTTCCATTGCCTCACAGTGGATACAGAGTGGAATGAAACAGCACAGCTGTACCAACTGCAGTTGGGCTTTCAGGAAGAAATCAAAGACGAATTGGCCCATGTAGAGATACCTATGGGCCTAGGTGCCCTTGTGGACCTTGCCATCTGCACTGATGATCAGCTATTTGAATGAAGAGAGGAGAAAAGTGGTACCCTGCTGCCTAATACGAAGAGCATCGGGAAAAAATCTGGTCCAGCCATGGTGAGGGGAACTATCCTGATCCTTGAAAGATGAGAATTTCCCCATACTCTAGTCCTCACTGAGATTCACCTGGAACCCCACTGAGGGCCTTCCAATTTGCACATGCCTATCCAGCTGCACATCCAAGGTGAACCCTGACAGTTTCCTCTCCAATGGATCCAGAGGTCCAATGCTTTCGAATGCCTCTGTAACAGTCCTTGGGAGGACCCCTCACTGTGTTAACCCCCTTAGGGTCACACTCTCTCACTGAGGTAAGCCCCTTGGCTTCACAACCTCCTCGGACCGAACCTCAGAGCCTTCACTGCTTCACTCCGTGGGCTCCTCTCAGCGAGTCCATCTGAACTGGACACCTGGACAAGACTGATACATCCAAAGGGAGCACTGTATCTGCTACTTAATCTGGAGTGACTCACAGTCATCATTGTAAAAACAGAAAGATTTATTAGATGTTACAAACAGGGAAGAACTGGAAGGGGAAGTAGAAGTGGGCAGCAGTGACCATGAGATGGTTGAGTTCAGAATCCTCACAAAAGGAAGAAAGGAGAGTAGCAAAATACGGACCCTGGACTTCAGAAAAGCCGACTTTGACTCCCTTAAGAAACTGATAGGAAGGATCCCCTGGGAGGCTAATAGGAGGGGGAATGGAGTCCAGGAAAGCTGGCTGTATTTTAAAGAAGCTTTATTGAGGGTGCAAGAACAAACCATCTTGATGTTCAGAAAGAATAACAAATATGGCAGGCGACCAGCTTGGCTTAACAGTGAAATCTTCAGTGAGCTTAAACACAAAAAGGAAGCTTACAAGAAGTGGAAACTTGGACAGATGTCTAGGGAGGAGTATACAAATATTGCTCAAGCATGCAGGGGTGTAATCAGTAAGGCCAAAACACAACTGGAGTTGCAGCTAGCAACGGACGTGAAGGGTAACAAGAAGGGTTTCTACAGATATGTTAGCTACAAGTCAGGGAAAGTGTGGGACCCTTACTGAATGGGGGAGGCAACATAGTGGCAGATAATGTGAAAAAAGCTGAAGTACTCAATGCTTTTTTTGTCTCGGTCTTCACAGACAAGGTCGACTGC